AAGAATCCACCTGAGGAAGGGAACCAGGCTGGCGAGCACGGGTCCCCAGTCCCCCTCGCAAGGCTCCAGCTTCGCTGCAAATCTGGGCACCTTTGCTCCCCCGCGACCTCCCCCCAAGCGGTCGCGGTCCTGGCGGACTTGCCTCTCGCGCCCGCCAATGCCTCAGGTGCACATGAAATTGGACCAGACGCCGAACAAAATCTCGAAAGAGAGCGCAGCGCCGTCTCGGACTTCTTGCTGAGCATGTTACCCCCCTTGTGGTCCAACCCCAGCAGCTGCGGATACATCAGCATCCACGCCTTGGCCAGCCACAGCACCTGGAACATGATGAACATCATGTGCGGATGCCGCCGCAGGCGCTGGGGGTTCACGTCTGGGTCGCTTGGCGAGGGGCGTGGGGTTCTCCAGGAACTCGAGCATTGTCTTGAAGAGGCCCTCGTACTGCCCAGCCTTGCCAGCCTGCATGAGCTCATTGAGCTGCTGCTTGCAATCCTCGGCCACCCTGGAATCGGTAGCCGTCGAAGTCGCCCCAGCATCACCTGCATCGCCGCCTGCAGCCGCCCGCTGGGCCGCTGCCTCGGCCGCCTGCCGCTGGCGCTCCTCCTCCTCCCGCTGAAACTGGAGCCCAGCCGCGGACAGGTCGCCCAGGAGGTCGACCACAGACTGGAACTGGGCCGCCTTGGCCGACTTTAAACCAGCAAGAAGATGGCCAAACAGCGTCTCGACCAAGCTGACTTCCCATCAGCACCCATCAGCAAGAGATTGCCGACTTCCCATCAGCACCCACAGGCTGGAGGACAGCGCGGCGATGTAGCCGCTGCAGCTCCTCCTCCTCACGCTTGACGGACTCAGCCAGCTTCTGCTGAGACTCGATGCACTCCGCCAAGTCCTGCTCGAGCTCAGCCTGCTTCTGCTTAATCGAAGCCCCGGTGGACTTCGCTGCCTGAAGCTGGCCCTGGTAGTGGGCCAACTTGTCCTGATGTGACCGCACCCGCATCCAAGGCGTCTGGCCCTGGTTGTCGTCAGGCGTGGCGGACACTATGGGAACCTGGGCCTTGGCAGCCACAACCAGCGGGTGTTCGGGCCCAAGGCCTGCCAGTGTGAGCTGCTCGATGGCGGCCGACAGATACTCCTGCTTGGCTGCCCTGTTGTCGACGCCTTTACCTTTGGCACGAGCGGCAGAGCCACCCTTGCCATGCCAAGGGCCAGGCTTCGAAGGTGCATCTCCGCCTTGGAACTCAGCAGCTTCATGATCGGGCATGGAACCTCCTTTGCGGCCACGGCCACTTTTGCCCACCAGCTGCCATGCATCTTGTGCTTGCTGCTCGCCCGTTCTTCTCCAGGGTCTCGGGGGCCATTGGATTGTGTCGCGAACAACAATATCACGAATCCACTTCTTACAGCGAAAGCACCTGCTCCACTCCACCAAATTGTACTGGTAGCCGCACGAGTTCTTGCCATAGCACGTCTTGTAGCCACTCTGCGAATGCGGGCGGTCGCGCGCCTGACGAGAAGGCCCCTTGGGCGGATCTGGGACCATCAGCCGCGCGCGCGACACGTGAAAGAAAGCAGCAGTAGCTGGGGAGAACCAGCTCTGCAAAGCAAAAAGCCTCCCTGACCAAGCAGTGAGGCGTCACAGATGGGGCCGCGGACTCCCCCACGCCAGTAAGGTCAGGTCTCGTGCCAAAACGGCTACGGACTTGAGCCAAAATGGCTACGGAGCCAGCGCGCAAGCGACCCGCATTGAGGCACGTGGGGTCCGTGAACTTACGGGAACGAGTGCGACCCGCTCCAACCGAGCCGCCGTCAGCTCGTGCACCGCCAGGGCGTAAGAAGGGAGCATCGTGGGTTCCGACGCCCCGTCTGTCAGCCTGAAGGCCTTGAGGCACGTAAGGCCCTTGGAAAAAAAAACAAGGAATAGTACCAGATCCACCTAAGCCAACCAAACCACCGTCGGCGCGAACGCCACCAGGCGAAGGGGAGGCCCCGTTGTCCTTGCTGTCGGCAGATCCGCCGCGAGCATTGAGGCACGAGAGAATGATGGAAATACTGATAGTAACACGACCTACTCCAACCAAGCCGCTGCAGCGCAGTCGCCACCAGGAAGCAGGATGGAAGAACGGTGAGCAAATTCTCCGCCACTACCGACGTGCACGCCACCAGATTCATGAGAAAATGGGGTATCCGTCATCCCCGGGCTGGAAAACGGCGACGTCGAGCCTGGGACCGTCCATAGTTCTGATGTTAACCATCACCAGTGCTGGAAAGGTAAGCCTGACTACGACTGTGGTGGGAAATCGCCAGCGGTTGCTTGCTCTCCGTCTTTATCTTCTTGGCAACTGAACTGGCACTGGCAAGGTCCCTCTTGAGCTGTCCCCGCATCGCGCGAATGCCTCCGTCACCAGCACCACCAGGAACAGGCTCCTCGTGCTCTCGGCACGTGGAGTTGCCGAGACCGTCCACCTGCGTGGCCACATGTGCTGCTTCGTCAACTTGCTGATCGTGGCCACCAATCGCTCGCCCACCTTCGCCGTTCGACTCAGCCCCACCCTGCGTGTGCAAGGCCTCGAGCTTTAGAGAAAACTTCCGCGCCACAGGATTCTTCGGAGCTGGTACCGCTCTGAACGCTGCCACCTCGGGAACACTATACTGCGAGCAGTACTTGGGATGAGACCTGCTGATCCCAGGGGTGCCTGTCGGCTCGTGTGTGCACGACTTGCAGAGACAGGGTTCTGCTGCATCACGACGCTACTTTTAGGTCGGGCGTGTCCCCCTACGGGGGGATTTTGGGCGACAAATAAAAGATACTCAGCACACACACACACACCAAATGGGCAACAATAGCAAAATAATTGTCCCCATCGCATGTTTTGACTATGTTTGAAGATTCCTCCTGTAGAGGGACAGGCCCGGCTCAATGCTACTTGTACCCATGACTGCACTCACACGCCCCCACGCACACAAGCACACGAAGAAGAATGCGAGCCTCAGACCCGCGCTCGGCCTAGTCCTGGCAGTGGAGGCTGTGCGGGGAGTGGGCCACGCCGCAGTCGGGCCCGGGGCGAGCCAAACGAACGTTGGAAGCAAGCCGCGGATCAGCGGCATCCGCTTGCTTCGCACGGAAGCTGCACTATCTGAGCCAAAATGACGACGGAACAGGAGGGAGGAGGAGGAGGAGGAGGAAGATGAGGAGGAGGAGGAGGAGGAGGAGGAGGAGGAGGAGGAGGAGGAGGGGGAGGGGAAGGGAGAAGGAGGGAACAAGGCGACGCGCGGCGCTGCGGATTCAAAACAAGGGTCCAACACACAGGAGGACTGGCAAAAGCATTCGGACAGGCACCGAGCAACGGCAAATCCATCGGACCACACGAAAACCAAGATGACCACCCAAACCTAGTTGTTTCCCTGACCCTGTCCTCTGCCTCGTTTACCTCCTCCTCCTCCTCCTCCTCCTCCTTCTCCTCCTTTTCCTCCTCCTCCTCCTCCTCTGCCTCCTCGGTCCTCTTTTCACGCGCCCAATCATCTCACCCCCTTTCCCTTATTCTCCGTTCTTCCCATCAACCTCCTCCCCCTCCTCCTCCTCATCTCCCTTCTTCTCCTCCACCTCGCCCTTCCTTGCCTCTTTCTCCTCTCCCCCCCCCTTACCAAATCTTCTTCTGCTCTCCCTCTTCCCTTTTCCCCTTCCACCCCCCGCCCTCGTCTCCCCCCCCCCTCCCCCTCGTCATCCCCATCCTCGTCTTCTTCAGCCGCCTTTTCCCTTCTCCATCCAGCTCCACCAGTGGACCAAAAAGCAAACGACACCACCTCACCCACGGCCCCACGGGGCCCAGCGTACCAGAACATTTGGCGTGGGCTCTCGCGTGGTGTGCGCGAACGGCCCTCGACGGGCCGTGGTGCAACATGGAGGGCCGTGGGTGGGGTGGTGTCGTTTGCTGCTCCTGGATAGCTCTTGAGAGCTGATAGGGCGACGAGATCTATGCATATCCACTGCTCCCGGCCAGGCCCATCCTGGGCCCAGGAGCGGTGTATATGCCTCCCTGGCCAAGCCAGGAGGGCGTATACACAGCTCTTGGGCCCAGGATTGGCCTGGCCGGGAGCAGTGGATATGTATAGATATCGTCGCCCTAGCTGAGAGGGTTTCAGATTAAGAGGCCAGGGCCGCAGGGTGGTCCCGGAGCTCGTTCCGGCTTCCGCTGAAACACCTCGGCGCGCCCCTGCCTGAACTTGCAGCGTGTCCCGAGGGACCTTTCCTGAGCGTTTCCCAATACGTCTGCCCTGAAGCTCTCCAGAAGCTTTTTTAAAACTTTTTTTTTACGACGACATGGGAGCGGTTACGGATGAAACTGGTTTCACAGGTGGGGAGTACGGTCTTGGATCGAAGGGCGATGCTTCATCGATCGCACCTTACACACGCACACGTGGCAGCCTACCACTGCCACACGATGCCCGCTCGAGCACATCAGCCCCAACATCGATTGTCAGCGAGATTATTACGACATCGACGAGCTCCGATCCCACCTCCGCACGCACATCCCTCCGTCGCCGCGTGGCCCTTGGCTCAAGACATTGCCTCGCTCGGCGAGGGAGGCACGCCCGCACGGACCGACAGTGCCTAAGCGATTCCTCGCCGCCCCACCGTGGCGACCCTCTCCAGAAGCTCCTTCGGAAGCTCTCTCCAGGATCTCCCCGAGCTCCTGCGAGAGGCCTTTGCTCGCCCTTCTGGCGCCCTGCTATCCGGACTTCGGACTCCACAAGTTTCGGGGAGACGTAAGACCTGGGTACGGGGGACTCGGAAATCCCCGACGAGGTCGTCAAAAAAATGACGAGGCCGAGCCTGCATTTTGACGAGGCCTCCCGCTGCAGACATCCCACGAAACTCCTCCTCGTCAAAATCCGAGTCGCGGTCGTCAAAAAACGATGGCGAACCCGAGTCCTGGCAAACCCGGGTCTTACGCTCCCCCGAAAGTTTTGCGGTCGAACCAGACCCTGCTCCCACGTGAGGCCTGCACGGGCGCCGGCGAGATGAGGGACACGGCGTCGAGGTTTTCGCGCGGGTCGCAGCCCAGCGCCCTGGCCGCTCCCTCGAGGATGTCCGCGTCCAGGCCCAGCACGTCCAGCGTCTGCCTCGCGGGGAAGTACAGCTTGTCGGCGATCTTCGGGCGCGAGGGGGGGAGGGGCCCCCGAAATCTCGGACGTTCCACTGTCCCAGCCACGATACACCCGCACACCCCCAGTCCTCACCCCCCCCTTCGACGCCCCCTGTACCTCCATGTCGTTCCCGCGCACCCCGTCGCTAAAGTTGTCCGTCTTCACCTGGTAGATGGAAAACTCCACCGGTGCGCCGAGAGGCACCTTTTGGAGGCTTGGAAATGAGCACCAGCACCAAAGCAGGGGGTGCGTCCGCGGAGGGAGGATGCTCCTAGACTTTGGTGTTGGTGGTAATCTTTCGGCTACCTAGAAGCCCGAGTATTACCACCATCGCCTAAATCGGGATCATCTTCCCTCGGTGGAGGCACACCTTCCACAGCGGTGCTGGTGCTAACATCTGTAGGCCTCGGAACCTTCCCGAGGTTCTCGCGCAGGTACTCCTCGGGCACGGACTGGGTGAAAAACCGGATCTGCTTCCCCCCGAAGTTGATCAGGCCTGCGCCGGCACCGATGCCGCGTGCCCGCCCGGCCCGCCCTGGGCCCAGGACCTGTGCACGCGTCATGCGGGCCCGGCCCTCGAGGCCCGTGCACCCCTCCAGGGCCCAGCAGCGGCTGTGGTGAGACGAGGCCAGGGCGAGACGAACATCAGGTGAGGATAAGGAACCTCCGACGTCCGGCGGCTCTTGAGGGTGTCCCGGGCACCACGGCCCAGCCAGAGCGTTCCCGAACGCTCTGGGAGCGTTTCCGAACGCTCTGGAACGGAGTTACTCTCGTCCTGGCCGCGCCCTGCGTGGGCACGGCGGCCCCCCGAAGGCCAAAACCATTTCTCGCGTAGAACTTCGAGACGTTGCCGGTGTACCGCGCGTGGCCCGTCTTGGCGAGCTTGCCGGTCACCGTCAGGGCCTCCCCGCCCCGGTTCGAGAGCTTCGTGCGATGGCCCTTCACCTGATCCAGGAAATTCTCCTTCTCGTAGAGCCTCGGCCCAGGCGTCTGTTTTCCCACCCTGGGCGGTAGCGAGGAGATCAAGCTCGCCGATCACCGCTCTCGTGCGCACGAGACGAGGAGGAGGAGGAGGAGGAGGAGGAGGAGGAGGAGGAGGAGGAGCAGGAGGAGGAGCAGGAGGTAAGGGGATACGGGGAACGATGAGAAGGAGGGGGAGGAGGAGGAGGAGGAAGAAATGGAGGAGGAGGAGGAAGAGGAGGAGGCGAAGGCGAAAAGGGAGGAGGTGGAGGAAAAGGGGGAGGAGACGTTGAAGCAACAGCAGGTTAACGAGAAAGAGGACCCGAACCTCGAAAATTATTGTTTCAAAGCGTACATGTCAGCGGCGCGCCCAGGGGGGGAAGAGAGAAGGAGCAGGCCTTCTCAGAAAGCGGCAGGGCTTCTCAGAAACCTTCAAGCCTTCTGAAGAGTCTCTGCGTTTTCGGGCAGGGCCTGGAAAACGTCTGAGAAGGCCCGAAGGCTTCCGAGCCTTCTGAGGAGGCCCGCCCCTTCTCACTTTCCCCCAGGGCCCGTCGCCGATTTTCAACGCGCACATGGCCCCCGCAGCTCTCGCCCCCGCCTCCGGAGGCCAGCTTCTTCGCGGGGCGTCGGAAGCGGGGACCTCGCTTCACCAGGACCGCGGCACACCCGACGCAGCTGCAACGCTGGGCCTGAGAGAAAGCACCCCTGCAGAGACTAGATAAGAGCTTAAGCGAAGAAAACGCCCTGCATAGATGAAATAAGAGCTGGAGCAAAGAGAACGGACTCCACTCCTGTAGCTCTGTTGGAGCTCGCCGTGAGGCCGGCGCCGGCCGCGCCCGTGCTTGGAGGGCGCCCGTGCGGACGCGCTTGGCCAGCAGAGCTGCGAGGAGCCTCGGCCGCGGCCGCGGGTGCCGTCGTCCCGGCCCTCGGCAGCTTCGGCGGAGCCGTGCCCGCGCTGCGGCCCGGCCGAGGGCAGGAGCACCCGCGCCACCTGCGGAGGGCCCGGGCGCTGGGCGCCTGCGGGGCCCCTCGCCGCTGCCGGGCGCAACGCAGGGATGCGCCGCGGCACAAGACGGGGAGTCAGCGTCTCGGCCCTGGGGCCGGCTTCCCTCGATCTCCGAGGAGGAAGAGGTACCCATACCTCTACCCCCTCGCCCGGTTTTCCCTGTGGGGGCCTCCTGGGAGGCCCTCGTCGCCACCGCTGGATTCGCCCCGAAGTTCTGGTCAGAACACACCCTGGGAGAGGTCCGGAGGGTAGCGGTATCGGTACCTTTTTGTATCCCCACGATCGCCTCCAGCGGCCTGGCCAGGGGGAGCGGGGCTGCCAAGGTGGGCTGCGTCGGCGCGCCCGCGGTGCTGGAGCCCACGTTCGGGTTGCTCTTCCTCCGCCTCACCCTGCTGCTGCTGGAGAGCCATCCCGCAGAAGGGGGCGCCCTTTTTCCCTAGGGGGGTCCTGTCGCTGGCCCGCGGATGGCCTGTCAAACCCATCCGCGGTGACAAAAAAGGTCCTTTGCGATGGGCCCCCCTAGGATCTTCTAACCAACTCTCTCTCTCTCTCTCTTCCCCGCAGTGGCGGAGGAGGAGGAGGAGGAGGAGGAGGAGGAGGAGGAGGAGGAGGAGGAGGAGGGAGAGAGGGAGGAAGAGGAGGAGGAGGAGGGAGGAGGAGGAGGGGGAGGAGGAGGAGGAGGAGCAGGAGGGGAGAGAGGAGAGAGGGAGGAGGAGGAGGAGGAGGAGAGGAGGAGGGAGGAGGAGGAGGAGGAGGGAGGAGAGGAGGAGAGCAGCAGGAGGAGGAGGAGGAGGAGGAGGAGGAGGAGGAGGAGGGTCTGCGGCAGGCCGCGGCAGGCGGCGGGCACGCCCCGCCGCAGCGTGCCGTCTGCGCGCGCCGCCGCCGACGCGGCGCCCCCTCTCCGACCGGGCGCTGGCGCCGCGTCTTTCACGCAGCGGGCCTGCGGGCGTTCGCTCTCGGCTGGCCGAACGCGTCCTCACTGCCGAGATCAGGCCAGGGCCGCTCCGCAGGAGCCTGTGTTTTTTAAGACTCTGGCAAGTTTACTTGCATGGACGGGGGGGGGGGGCTGAGCCTGAAGCAAGCCGCAAACGACTTGCACGTTCGGGGGGGGGGGGGCCTCCGCGCCACGCAAGTGCAAGGGCGTTGTCTCGGGAACGGAAGATGCCTAAAGCCTTTGCCATGGAAGATGCCTAAAGCCACTTGCACCCCGGGGGGGGGGGGCGCGGAAATCACGCAAGTCGAAAGGCACTTGCACGCTAGTATTCGCTTGAAGAGGGGCGAGGGGGAGGGGGGGGGGGGGGGCGAACGCCATGCAAGTAAACTAGCCCGAATCCAAAAAAAACAAGCTCCAGTCCTTCTGGTGCGAGGCGGTGGCCGGCGGCCTCCGAGGCGGCAGCCGTGGTGCCTCCCGCCGGCGACGGGTCAGACGCGCCTCTCTGGGCGTGGCGGGCGCCGCCACCGGGAGCTGTGACCGTCAACAGCGCGGACGAGGGACTGCAGCTGGGCTCCAAGGAGGGGAATGAGGAGGTTGATTGGCCTGTTTTCCACCACCACCACCATAAATTGGAGGGGGAGGGGGTCCTCCTCCTCCTCTTCTTCGTCCTCCTTCTCCTCGTCCTCCTCCTCCTCCCCCCTCCAACTTATGGTGGTGGTGGTGGAAAACACGCCCATCAGAGGTTGTGCCGCTGGCCGCGATGCGGGAGCTCGTGCAGCCCAACGCCGAGCCCGCCTCCGCACCTGGCGGCTCTTCGCCTCTCCCTCACGCAGACCTCGTCCCGTCTCCGGGGGGAAGGAAACACGGCACACGCATAAACGGTCGACGGTCCGCGCGGATTTTTCTTGGACCTGCGCTGGAGCCCCCTCCCTGGCGCTCGGAGCGCGCCGGGGGCGGCGCTCGGAGCGCGCCGCTGGGGGGGTCCCAGCGCGGAGGCACGAAATCCGCGAGGAGCGCCAAGAGGTTGCACATGCTTGTGCACTTGATGTTCGTCTTCGAGTCCTGGCCGCGCGGGCCTCGGCGCCAGCACGGCGCACCCGCTGGCCCACGAGAGGCGGCGCTCCTCCGCGGGCGCAGCGAGCCGCTGCATCCGCAGGCGGCGGTGCACGGCGAGCGAGCGGCGAGCAGCTGGCTGGACGGCTCTGGTGGCGACGGGCTCAGCACAGGGCCGAACCTCAACGGTGTTTTTCGTTTTCGTGTTGTCTTCGCTGTCCCTCGTTGTGTCTTCCATCCGCCTCTACAACAAAACGACATCGAAACGAAACCGGCCCACGAAATCGCCAAAACACCGTTCAGGTCCAGCCCTGGCTCAGCATTCGGGGCCGCACAAACATGGACCAGCGGTCCATGGATGAGGCGCGCGGTCGCCAAATCCGTGGATCGGGGGAGGTGCCCTCCCCCAAATGCGGCTGCTGGCGCCTCGCTCGGCGGCGCCAACCCGCGGTTTCCTACGTATTGAAAAGGGACCCGTCGCTAGTCCGCGCCCCCTGAATCCATGCTTGCGACCGCCCGAAGCATGCACGTCTCCCCCCGCCCTCGGGGGCCCCTCCCCCCTCGCCGAGGGCGGCGGCGGCCTCGTGGAGGCGGGCGGCGAGGACGGCGGCGGGTGCCGTGGTGGCCTCTTCTCCCGAGCAGGGGATCGCATGCAGAATTGAGATTGCCTTAAAACTGACTGTCGCGTCGAATTGAAAAGAAAGAATGGAGGGGCCCCAGGACACACAAATAAATACACACAAATACAAATATTCCCAATATTTTCACATATTTTCTGGGTTTTTGTCTTCCCCCCACTTCCCATATTTTCCCATATTTTCCTGGGAATCGACGATTAATTGTGTCTGTGTGTTTTTTCCTCTCCTGAAAGAAGTGCGCAGAATGCGCGTAGACATACGGGTCATTCCTTCTCCCCCTGGCTCCTCCATCTGCAAGCCTCCTAGATAGGGTCCGAGCAGATGGGGTCGGAGGATCGCCCCGCATCGCCGATACATGGCCGGTGCATCGACGATGTGTATCGGCGATGCATCGGCGACGTCGGCGATGCACCGGCGACGTCGGCGTGGGGGAACGCAGGCTCCGCATCGAGCCGCATCGTCGATGCACCGGCGATGCGGCGCGATCCTCCGACTGGGAGGCCGAGATCATCGTGGGCGACGCGCGAGCGGCAACAGCGCTGGCGCGACCGGAGCAGCCAGTCCCGTCCTCCCGTTGTGCGTCGACGCGCCGTTGTTGCTCTGACGCGTGTGAAAGCCAAAACTCAGGAGGAGGAGGAGGCGGAGGAGGAGGAGGAGGAGGAGGAGGAGGCGGAAGAGGAGGAGGTGGAGGTGGAGGAGGAGGAGGAGGAGGAGGAGGAGGGAGGAGGAGGAGGAGGAGGCGGAAGAGGAGGAGGTGGAGGTGGAGGAGGAGGAGGAGGAGGAGGAGGAGGAGGCGGAGGAGGAGGCGGAGGAGGAGGAGGAGGAGGAGAGGGAGCGCCGGGGATCCGGACGGCGCGAGCGGCGACCGCGCCGGCGGTGCGCCTCCTTGCGGGCCCAGGCGGCTCCAGGTGCTGCGCACGCCGCGCGCGCGCGCTCCTCGGCCCCCCACGGCCGACGTCCGCGCCCTGCGGGGGCCGGGCCGGCAAAGGCTGCCGGTGCCGTGGCCGCGGAGGGCCGCCCGCTCCCAGGGCTGCGGAGGTCGACGGAGGGCGCCGCGGGCTCCGTGCCACGATCAGTTAGTTCACGGGCGGAGAACGGTATAACATAAACTTGTTCGCCGTCGGGGACACCTGCCCCTGGGCGGCTGGAAAGTTTACACCCCTACGGTGCCACCGTGAGGGTATAAACTTTCCGGCCGCCCAGGGGCAGGTGTCCCCGACGGCGAACAAGCTTATGTTATACCGTTCTCCGCCCGTTAATTTAGGGGGCCGCCTCCTCCAGGGGGCCACATGCGAACCCTGCCCCTACCCCCCACGATTTCTGAGAGGGGGGGAGGGTGGGGGGGTTCACTTCGCTCGGGAGCTCCCGAGCGAAGTGAACCCTACGCTCCCCCTGA